TTCCCACTATTCACATCCTCTCCACTCTGCCCGATCCAACTACAACCTTGATCAGGTTCGAATCTTCTATCACCTGAGCTACTGAAAAAACTTCCCACCTGGTCTCCCAGCCACTGGCTCTGCCCTCTGTAACCCACACTCCACGCAGAAGAACTGCTCTAAAACAAAGGATTCCAGCATCCCCCTTTTCAGAACATCTGGTGTTTCCTGCTACTCACAAGACAAAAATATTAGCATGGGAAGCCTGACCAGTAAGAGAGGCCCAGAAAAAAGAAATACCTGACACGGTGGCCCAAACCAAAAGAACCCCCCAAAAGAGCCATGGTGACCAGAGAACTTGGTGAGGAAAGCAACCAGAAGGACCTTTGAAACACAAAGCAAACTGTAACAGCTCAGAAGTGCACAACCAGACTCACCCAGCCAGGAGGCTAAAGGGCTGCCATAAGAAAGCTGCAGGCAACTAATAAGCTACTCTCTGAGCAAACTGAGAGAAACCCAGCCAGAACGTCGGGGGGACTTTTAGCAAGGACCTACTAAGCCACCCGCTCCCAAAACACACCCCCACGCCCTGCCCACCCATCCCCAGCTCCACCTGACCCAGCAGGGCACCAACCTCCTTGAGACCCAAAAAAAGCAAAGCACATGACCAGGTGATTCCTCAACGGGCCCACAGGAATTCACACCAAAGTGGCCCAACCGGACTCCACCTCTAAGCAAAGAATAAAACAGCCTGAAAGCAAGTCTAACAAAGGTCAGGACTGTCAAATGGACAGTGAAATCTCCCACCCACAGGGGAGCTGTGCAATCTCCCCCACAATACTGCCCCGCTGATTAAAGGCTCATCAACTTCTTTCTTAACCACAGACAGCTTTAATAAAGCTGTGTGAACCAAGGCCAGTTTCTCTCGGCCAGGAAGTTCAGGGACCCCAAGTGCCAGAACACGAGGCTGGGCAGGAGAGACCCGAGACTCTTCCCAATCTGGCCCATCTACCAACCCACGCCCTAGATGGTAGCCAGATGGAAATACTCCTATTTTCTGGAAGCTACCTTTGCTCATGCTGTTCCCTCTGACTAGAGTCCCTTTGCTCAGTCCAGATAAATCCTATCCATCACCTCCTCTGGAAATCCTTAACCAGACCTCACTCCCCACGGCATGCTTTCTGAGGACCTGATGCAGCCCTTTCACGGCACTCATCCCACTGTATGAGGGAAGGAACTCTGTTTTGGTCATCTTTCTTCCTCAAACAATGTCTAGCCGATCTGAGGTGTCTATTCGTGTTTGCTGAATGAATCTATAAGTCAGTTCACCTACTCCTTTCTTTGATACAATAGCAGGTAAATAACTATGTTGTGTTATATTGAAAACAGTTTCACACTAAATGGAACTCCATTTTCAATTCAGCCAAGGCAAGACCTTAGGGGAAGACTGCACTCACCTTTTTGCAATCATGCACAAAAGTAAAAAGAGAATGGGAAAAAATGCAGGGCACCAGCCTCTACTGGGTGGGCTAGAGCCATGTGTCCATGGATTTCCAGGGTGGAGGGTGGTCTGCAGACCAATCTCCCTTAGTACTAAAGTTCCTGATATAAAGAAAGTTCCTGTGTTTCTTGCATGAATTAGAAATTTCAAGGAAAGTATTTCAAATTATTCTTAAAATAATGAACTTTGAGTTTGCTGGAATTCATTGCAGATTAAAATCCAAAGAGTCAAAAAGCTGTTGAGCCACATGAGAAAACACTGGAAACTAAACATATTCTGCTATCTACAACTGTGTGGTACTATCTTCTCAGAAGGAAGAGAGGGAGAGGAGGACACTGAGGAAGGAGACTAATAAGAGTAACTAAAATGACAGGACTGACTGCCTGGGGGAAGACACACGACAAAAACAGGTCTCTGGGCAAAAAACGTAGGAAAATACAATTGACGTCTACTAAACAGGTTGATGTGGATAGGATCAACATGGATTTTTTAACATAACAGATTTGAAACATTTATTTAAGATCAATTTAAAAATGCTCTCTTACATAACATGTATTTTAGTCACAAGAAAATTCTGCCCCAAGATGTAATTCAGGCTAAAATATGAACTATTTCAAAAAGATTCTATGTAGGGCTTCCCTGGTGGTGCAGTGGTTGGGAGTCCGCCTGCCGATGCAGGGGACACGGGTTCGTGCCCCGGTCCGGGAAGATCCCACATGCCGCGGAGCGGCTGGGCCTGTGAGCCCTGCGTGTCCGGAGCCTGTGCTCCGCAACGGGAGAGGCCACAACAGTGAGAGGCCCACATACCGCAAAAAAAAAAAAAAAAAGATTCTATGTATATCTAATGTAAACTAGTTATAAGAACCTAATTAGTTTGGGGTATGTCTCATTAATAAGAAATCTGTGATGCAGAGGTAGAAAATAAAACTTACGGTTACCAAGCGGGAAGCAGGGGGAGGGATAAACTGGGAGACTGGGATGGACACATACACACTACTATATATAAAACAAATAATAAGAGCCTACTGTACAGCACAGGGAACTCTACTCAATACTCTGTAATGAGCTATATGGGAAAAGAATCTAAAAAAGAGTGGATAAATGTATACATATAACTGAGAAGTAAAACAACATTGTAAATCGACTATACTCCAATAAAAATTAATTAAAAAAAGAAAAGAGAAAAAAGAAATCTGTGATGAAACGAGAAGTATGCATAAGGCATTTCTGCAGCATACCAAAGTACTGTGGTTGTCTTGAAAATCAAATTGTGCAATAGATCTTTGCATTGTGAGCTGAACCAGCCACATTTTTTTCACGGAACATCATTTTTACTTAAAGGTACAACTGAAAAGCTATGCTCGTTTAGACTTCTGTATTTGACCTACATTTCCCCCAAAAAGAGCAAAATGAGCCTGACGCTTCAAGAAAAACTGACAGTATGTGTTACCAATGACAAAATTCAAGCTTTCAAGCAAAAATTTGAGTTTTGGAGAACTGCTTCTCAATAATTAAAAGTAAGGAGGGTTTTCTGCTGCTAAATAATGCTAGTTTGAGAAACAGATTAACAAACTGTTAACACGTCACAAGTTTTGGTTTTCATTCTTCTTACTGGCTTCAATCAATTTTTTTAAGTTATAAATTAGAAGACCCAAAAGAACAGAGTAGTTTAAATCATGTCAACCTAATTGCTTAGAAGACAACTGCCAAAATTTTTATGCCATGTCAGTGATTGTTCTATGGCAAACATTAAGTATAGAAATAAGAAAGATATATTACTACCTCACATCAATTGAATTTTAAGAATCTATAGATAATATATTAATGCAATAACAAAAAATGGCTATCAAGTGAAAGCTGGAATTCTGATTTCCTTTGGTTAGCTTTTGGAGTAATTTTAATATGTTACTCAAAATACCAAGAAAGTAAGAAAATTGTTATCTAAGTGCAAAAAAAAAAACTTCTCCAGAATCGCACAAAGTTAAAATATCTCATAAAATAACATCCCCCAAAGATGTCCAACCTTTAAAGAGCTACATAAGAAAGTAAAAAATGCTGTAGAATGAGAAGTTAATTGATAAGACTTCCAAAATGGCAGAGACTTTTAAGAAAAAGCTTGCTGAATATTTTGGCTAACTACTCTCAAAGCCACTGAGCTATCACTGTCATTTCTACTACAGGCTTCAAGATGTATCCAATTTAGCCTAAAGAAAAAAACTGCATTAAAAGAAAATAATATGTTAAAATATTCATATTTTTTTTCAAACTTTAACCCCAAACTTCTATTTCGGGATATCAAGGTTTCGACAATTTATGCCTTCTCAAGCATCATTCTGAGCTTATATGTCTTACTTGAACCTGAAAATTTAATCAAGAAAAGTCACATAATTTTTAGGAAACACAACAGTTTTGATGAGGTTTGGTGAGGTCTGTTTCTCCCCTCCCCCCTGCAATCCACTGAAATAATCTACTACCATGTGAGACAATGCCCTGATAATAATTCCATCTTAAAATTCTGCAGGTGTTTTCACTCTGTAAGAGGCCATACATACATTTTTAGCTCACTCAGGGGAGAAATGGTACTGGTTCAAAAAACTACTAATGTCTAAAAAGAAATGATAGGAGATGCACAATGTTACTAACTCATTTAACATTAAATACATAATAACCCGGAAGAACTCAGAAAAGTTCTGGAAATACAGTGTTTTAATATCCATATGAAGTTCAGATTTTTCGGTCATGAGAATGCCACACTGGCACCTTTTCAACCAGAGGGGCTGAGAAACCAGGATGTTTACTAAAGAGGCCAATTCAAGCAGATTATACAAAAGTGTATTTTGGACTAGAAACCAAAAGAAAAAATGGTAAATAGGTTAAAATTGTAAACTATCTTGCATAATTGTTAATTTAATCATCTTATCTCAGAATTCATCCTAACAGGTAGCAGAGGCTACCTACCCTTGAAAAGCAGACCCAAGCACACTGAACAATTGGAGCATTGTTTTTACTAGACAACTCATCGCCTAAAAATTCCTGAAGTGTGGCACAAATGTTCATTGACCCCATTCTAAAAAAGCGACCTAGAACACTACAACAGTACAGTCTTGAACCCAATCACATTCCCTACTGTGGGTTTCTCCATCGTATTTTTACAACTAGTTAATATAGCTGAGAGTGTCTGAATAAAATTACGATTACTAAGTTTAAGCTTAAAAACTTAATATTAAATGGATAAACCTGTCACGAATACCCAAGAAAGCGATCAGGGCATCTCGGGCCATCACACCTTATTTTGCTCAGTCCACGTAACGCAGTCTTTAAGTTGTTTAAACGTGCATTGACAAAACTCACATGCCAAAGCCATGCCCCGAAGCAGTTTATGTGACAGGTCTGAAATCGCATTTCAAATAAAATGCTTTCTGCCGGGCCCCTGTTTATACAGCTTCCAAATCCCGTTAAGTAACATGCTGCGTTTCCTTCACTGTGACCGTGGGAAGTGAGGGTGTGTCTCGGTGCTTACCGATGCCCGGAGCCACATAGATGAAGTAGAGGCAAGACGAGGAGAGGGAGAAGAAGAAGATGAAGGCGAGGAGGGAGCGATTGGAGACCCGCATCATCCGCCTGAGCACAGACATCTTCCTCTTCCCGGCCGGCAGCTCGGGCTGCGCTCTACAGGCGGACTTGGGGGCACGTCCAGGCCCTAAACTTCCATGAATGTGCTAAAAACCCCGAGACTGCAGCGGGGTCCGCGCGGGGAGGATCTGGGATAGAGGGGCCAGAGCGGGAAGGAGGAGAGAGGAGGGAGCCGACGGAATGAATGGGAGGCTGGGGAGCCGGGGGAGGGGAAGAGTGGGAGGACGCGCGGGAAGGGGGGAGGGGACGCAGGGCAGGGGGCCCCGGGGACCAAATGACCAGAGGAGGCTGTGAAAGGGCGAGGACCCGCGTTCGATACGCCAGGTAGCGGCGGGAGGAGGGGCTTTAAGTGGGGAGACGTGCGGGCTGCGCGCCGCGGCGCCCCTGCGGAGAGGGCCGGCCGACTGCAGCAAGCCCGGCTCCCCCGCGGCTCCGGCTGCCCGCGCCCGCCGGGGTCCAGGTCGCGAAGCCCCTGCGCTCAGGTTCCGGGCACCCCGCGCTTGGCAGGCCTGTGCCGCCTCCTCCTCGGGGCCGCGGCGTCTCGTGCCTGCGCGGGGCTAGCGTGGGCGCCGGGGCCGCAGCCGGCGCGCACAACGCGCCGGGGCCCGCGGGGGCCCTAGGGGCAGAGGAGCTGGGCGCTCGCCAGCGCGCAGCCTCCTCCTCATGCCGCGCCGGGCCCCGGCGTCCCGCGGCGGCCGCGGGAGCCGAGCGCAGGCGAGGGCGGCGTCCCGGCCAGCGGCGAGTGCGCTCCGGTTCCGGCTCCTGCCTCCGCCAGCTGTCCGCCCGGCCGCAAGGGCGGCAACCGCAGCAGCATTACCGCCGCCGGCCCGGGGTGAGGCGCCCCCGCCGGCGCCGCCCCCGCACGGCCCGCGGCCACCAGGCGAAGAACCGCGGGGTGACTCGAGCGGCTGGCAGAGCCGAGGAGTCCGAAGAGGGGGAGGCCAGACGCCGTCGGAGCCGCGTCTGAGTCGCAGAAGAGGCGGGCCTGCGAGGGCGGGGGAGCCGCGGAGGAACACCGGGCACGCGGGCGGGACCGGAGACCCCCGGCAGCCCCACGCGCTAGCTCGGAACTGCAGGCGGCGCTGCGCCTGCCCCGAGGAAACCTGGAGGCTCCCGCCCACCCTTCCCCTCCCCTCGTCCGAAACACCGCGCCTCCTGATTGGCCTGCGCCGCACCGCGCCGAACAACCTGCCCCCTCCTCCCCGCGCCGGGACCGGCGCCCCGGCCGCCTCCTGCGTCACCGCCGTCCCCGCCCGCGCGGGGACCCCGGCGCTCCCAGTGCTGCAGGGGGCTGAGGGACGCGTCTTGAGCCTTGGATACGTTCCACTCTGGGGATCGATAATGAAAGATGCTGTGTCTTTATCTCGAGGAGGAAGCTTCTGTGGTGTGGTGTGCGTTCCTCCCAAAATACGCGCTCCGGGAACAAGGTGTTTTCCAGTACTGGATTAATGGAACCTCCCATCCCGCACTTTCTATAGAAACATACTGTCAGGATGTCATACGGATCTATGTATATCTCTTATAATAGGACTTGCCTTCCCATCTGAAGGTGAGCACTGAATAGCCCTACTTTAGCTGTATCCGTTCAGACGCGGAGGAAAAGACTTCTGTGCAGCCAATAGGCCCTTGAGCACTGCAGCACCAACCAGCTTCAGTGGGCAAATTGCTTTAATGCACCTCCTAGATTGTGGTCTACCCTTTGTTCAAAAGCTACTTTTTCCTACTAGCTGGTCCTTAGCTATATCGCATTTTTCCAACGTGTGTTTGTAGTTATTTCTTTTGCAGCTAATCATGTAGAAAGTGGCTGGATGCCCCCTACTGCCATTATTTGCTATTTCCAGATGCAGCGGTATTGAACACTACTTGACCGCCAGCAAATATGGTACCTTCTTAGCAAGAGACCCATGCCTTCCATCGTCTCTGAGATAGTACTATGCTTTGTGGAACCTGTAACACCTGAGTTTATAATTCCACCAAGGGCTTTTATTAACTGAAACTCATGCCAAGCCACTACCCTCTGCAAGCCTCTCTTCTCAGCCTTCAAATGGTGGGTGTGATACCAGCTTTCAAGTCTATGGGATTAAACCGGGTTACTGTGTAAAATGCTAAACATGATGTCTGTCACCTAAGAGGTTTCCTTACCTCCCTTTAGACAGTTGACTGGATGGAATCACCAGTTCAACTTCATTTCTTAATATTTTGCTTTTTGGAGTACTTACAAGTTACTGAACTTCTCTGGCTAATTTGATATTTAATGTGAAAGGAAATGACACTGTTTTGTATCATTTTTAGATGCTTGAGGGAAATCTGAAATACAAAATGGAGGAACATATTAAATAAGAGAGAAAACTCACTTGTAAAAAAACTATGTATGCAAGAGAAAGAAATCCATGCGTGGTGAGGAAGCAAAGTTGTAGTATTTCCCCCTCTGACCCTGCTGACTTTTATCTCTCTTTATTTGCACCAGTTCAGCTGTTGTTTATAATGCTAATACCACTGTGCTGGCTTGGCAATGGATAATTCTTCAAAGGAAAAATTGGCTTTTTGAAAAGAAAGTTTACTATGAAACTAAGTGGGAAGTATTAACATCTTAGAAATTGATGATTAATCTTATTTTAAGAAATATGAAGTCTGTGTACAGATGTGCTTGGCTAGCATAGATGACTGCCATTGGTATCTCTTAACATGGTACTTGTTAAAAATGATTCGTTCTCCCCTGGAGTTAAACAAGTACCAGAAAACCAGTTTAGTCGGTGCACCCTTTAGCATTGTTGTTCACCAGCCACAGAAAGAGGTAGCCAGGGCTTCCCTGGTGGCGCAGTGGTTGAGAGTCCGCCTGCCGATGCAGGGGACGCGGGTTCGTGCCCCGGTCCGGGAAGATCCCACATGCCGCGGAGCGGCTGGGCCCATGAGCCATGGCCGCTGAGCCTACGCGTCCGGAGCCTGTGCTCCTCAACTATGCTTCAATAAAGTAAAAATTTTTAAATGCTTTAAATGGTAAATTTAATGTTATGTATATTTTCCCCAAAAAAAAAAAAAAAAAAAAGAGAGAGGCAGCCAGGCCTCTAGAGCCAGGCAGCCTACGGTCGGATCCCATTTACTCAGGTCAAGTGACCTCAAAAGTTACTTAAAGCTCCCTGTGCCTCCACTTTCTCATCAGCTAAAGAAGATAACCATCGTGCCTATTAGGGTTGTTGTGAGGATTAAACTGAATGAGTTAATTCTTCTAAAAAGTTTGGGAGAGCCTGGTACCTAGTAAGCACTATTTGAATATTAATTTTGTTTTTAATCTCTCCTTTAGATTACTCTCTGCCAACTAACAAGTTATGCTGGTCTCTTCCTATTTAAAAACCAAATTTCCTGCTG